AAATTAATTTTTTAAAATAGAAATTTTTTATTAAGACGAATAATTCGATTTCATTGCTTATGTTAATCATTAAAATCAAATTTCATATTTGTTACAAAAAAACAATTTTTTTTTTTTTTTTGAGAAAAATTCTCGTTACTTGAGGTTTTTTATTTAGTTACGAGTCGAATTTTAGTCATTGTAACAAATTCCATTAGGAGAACTTTTATAAAATTTTCAAGACACGAGAAGCAAATATTATTAAAATATTTTATTTTCCAAGTACCCTTGACGATATTTTTCAATATTAAAATTTTATGGAAAAACAAATAAAAGATATTTTTATATTCAAAAATTTGTCATTAATCAACTATCAACTTGTAGTCAAACAGTAACAATTGTCAATTGCAGCTGGTTTTTGTGTGTCTTTGATCAAACTTTTAAACTTTGTCTGTTTAAGTAGTGTACATAAGCTGTCTCGAAATTTACCTTATAAAAAGAAGTTAAAAAAGTACAAGAAAATTTATTAGTAGAAAGATATTAACAATCGGTTCACATTTCACAATCATTTTGAATCATGAAAATATTAAATTCTATAAAATGGTTTCTATTCGCAAACATTATTATACACAGTATTGTGTGTGTAGTTGACTCCTTTATGCTACCAGATTCGGATTTGGATTTGGATTTGCCACCCAGGCAACATTTTAACAAAAAACTGTTGAAAAATCAAGAAGAGGAAAACCTTCCACAATTTGCTTTAGACGATCCGGAATTATTTCACAATTTAACGCACAATCAAACATTTTTCACAAATTGTTCAAATTTGCCCGAAAGAATGGAAAACCTCTACAATTCGTCAAAACTTCTAACACTGGATTCGAAAGGATTTAACTATATTCTACGCGAAGCATTGAATATCTGGAATGAAAGTAATATACCAACCTACATCAAATATGAAGATTTATTCGCAATAATGCATTACACTGCTAATGGTTATATGGAAATGAAAAAAGATTCAGATGAAACGAGGCGAATGAAAAATGCCATTTACAGACTCGCAATTATGCAATCTTTAGATTCAGAAGAATACGAAACGGAATTATATCGAGGCGAAACTAAGCCATTAAATTGGTATGAAAATCAATTTAATAAATCAATAAATTCTTTTGTTTTTCAAAATTTTACCTCCACTTCGACTGAACGATATATCGCAACAATATACTCTGCGGAAGACGATGCATCCGTTAATCAGACAAAAACAATTTATGAAATGTCTTTCACTGAACCATTTTTAAGAGCAGATGTCACGAAATTTAGTCTTTATTGGATTGACGAAGAAAGAATTCTATTACCAGGTACAAAATTTGTTATTAATGAAATAAAGTGGAGAACTGAAGATGGACGAAAAGTTGGTTTGACAGTGAATCTAACACACAATTATGGAAATAAGACACTACTTGATCATCAACGGCAAGTTATGAGGGAACTGAAGAAACTACAGAATTCTGGTACCCAATTTTATGTGTGTTAAATAATTTTTTATTAAATAAACCAATGAATACCATTTCGATTTCAATTATGTAAATCTGGTAAATGTAATTTTTTTTTTTTTTTTATTTTTATTTTTTTTACGATTCTGCGCTGTAAAATATGTATTTCTTTTCTCAATAAATTGTAACTGTTAAAAAAATGTTTAGTTTTTACCTTTTAATGTAGAAAATAAGAAAATTCAATAATTAACTATATAAGTGTTCTTTTATTATAATTGCAATAAATATTTTGTCTACCAACTTTTAAAAATTTCAAGATAGCGGTATAGAAGGATTACAGTACAGAATGAAAAAGGTCCAAATCCAACAGGTCCAATAATTAGAAGGCATTTTTTAAAAGAAATTCAAAATTTTATCTGGGAATTATTATTATTTTTGATATGTTTTAATAGATACTTAATATTATACCAACTTCTTTATTTTTCACTATTTTTTTATTTAATAATACCTATTATCTTTTTTTTCAAATAATTAAAAAATATTTTTACTAATCTAAAAATATGATTAATGTTATTATTCATTATTAAACAAGTTTTGAGTAAAAAAAAAAAATGTTATAGATCAAATTTTGTTTAAGAAATTTTAAATTTATTTAAAAAAAAATATTATTACAAAATTTCTATTTGTTAAAATGGATTGTAAAATTATTGGAAAACATGAATAACTTACTTTCTTTTCAATAAATATTTAATCATTATTATTTTTCCACAGGAATCAAAATTTTCAAAAATTTCAAATTCAAACCTTTTTGAAATAAAAAATATTTTTACTGTAATTTTTTCAAAATTATTTTCACCATTTTAATTCAATTATTATTTTCTAGAATTTTAAAATAAAATTCTTCTTTAAACCAATTTAATAATTTTTGAAAAAGTTCGATTAAAATTTTATTAAAAAAAAGATTGAAATTCTGCGAAGAATTTTATTACTTTTGAAAATAATTGAATTCCTAAAAAGAATTTTTATTATTTATGCGAAAATAAAAATTTTTGAAAATAATAATTGAAATTTTGCCAAAAATTTTATTTTGTATTAAAATTTATCAAAGAAATTTAATTAATAAATTATGTCAAAATTCAATTATTTTCAATGTCTACTATTTCAATAAAATTTCACAAATAAATTCAATTATTTCAAAAGAAATTTTAATAAAATTCTTCTCAAGAATTTAATTATATTGAAAAATTTACAAAAATTCTTGTCAAAATTTCAATTATCTTTATAAATAATAAAATTTTTCTCTGAAATTCAATTATTTTCAAAAATTTTAATAATACTCTTGGCAGAATTTCAATTATTTTTAATACAATTTTCATTAAATTATTATATATTATTATTTATTATTATTATAATTATTTTTAAAAATTTTAACGAATATCTCGTCAAGAATTCAATTATCATTACAAATAGCAAAATTTTTCGACAAAAATACAATTATTTTCAAAAATTTTAAAAAAATTCTTTGCAAAATTTAAATTATTTTCAAAAACTTTTTACAATTCAATAATTTTCAATATTTACTAGTTTCATAAAATTTATTACAAAAGTTCAATTATTGAAAAAAATTTTTGATACAATTATACGAAAACATTCATTTTCATCGCAGAATTTCAATTATATTTTTAATACAATTTTAAATAAACTCCATGAAAAATGCAATTAATCCTAAAAATTTTATTAAATTCTTCAAAATAATTCAATTATTTTCTCAAATTTTAGTAAATCCTTTAAATCAATTCAATTATTTTATTAAATAGTAAATTTTTTCTCCAAAAATTCAATTATTTTCACGAAAGAATTCATTTTTTTTCTTAATTCGTTAAAAAATTTTTGAAAACAAAGAATTTAATTATTTTTTTATATTTTAATAAATTCTTTGAAACAATTCAATTATTTTTAAAAATAGTAAAATTTTTTGCAAAAATTCAATTTAACAAAATTTTAATAAAATTTCACGAAAGAATTCAATTACTTTTTAAAATTTTAATAAATCCTTCAAAACAATTCATTTATTTTTTTAAATATTAAAATCTTTGCAAAAATTCAATTATTTTCAATAAAATTTCATGAAAGAATTCAATTCTTTTTCTTAATTCGTTATAAAATTTTTCAAAACAAAGAATTCAATTATTTTTTTATATTTTAATAAATTCTTTGAAACAATTCAATTATTTTTTAAACAATTTAAACAAAATTTCACGAAATAATTCAATTATTTTCAAAAATTTTAAGAAATCCTTCGAAACAATTCAATTATTTTATTAAATAGTAAAATCTTTGCAAAAATTCAACTATTTTCACAAAAGAATTCAATTTTTTTCTTAATTTGTAATAAAATTTTTCAAAAAGATTTCAATTATCTTGATAAACAACAGAATTCTTCGCATAAATTCAATTACTTTAATGAATTTTAATTTAATTCTTTTCCAAAATTCAATTATTTTGATAAATATATCAAAATTCATTTAAAGAATTCAATTCTTTTGAAAAATAATAAAATACTTTGCAGAAATTAAATTATTTTCATAATTTTTTAAAAATTTGCGTCAAGAATTGAATGGAATTATTAAAAAAAAACTCCATTATTTTCAAGAAAATTGAAATTAATTTCTTTAAAACAATTCAAATTATTTTGAAGAATTTTAATAAAAATCTTGCCAAGAATTAAATTATTTGAAATTGATCTTCTTTTTTTTATAATAAATTAAAGATCATTATTTTCTAAAATAGAAATATTTTTACTGTTATTCTTTCAAAATTATTTTCATCATTTTAATTCAATTATTATTTTCAAGAATTTTAAAATAAAATTCTTCTTTAAACCAATTTAATAATTTTTGAAAAAGTTCGATCAAAATTTTATTAAAAAAAAAATTGAAATTCTGCGATGAATTTTATTTATGAAAATAATTGAATTCCTAAGAAGAATTTTATTATTTATGAGAAAATAATTCATTACCTGTAAAAAAAATTTTGATTATTTTATTGAAAATAATTAAATTATTGCGAAGAAATTTATTGAAGAAAAATTATAAATAATAGAATTCATATGAAATTGATGAAAATTTTTGAAAATAATTGAAATTTTGCTAAAATTTTTTTTTTTTTAAATTGGATTTTGCCAAGAATTTTATTAAAAATTTTGAAAATAATCGAATTTTTGAAAATAATTGAATTTATGCAATCATTTAATATAATTTTTTCAAAATTCAATTTTTTTTTAGTGTTTTTGAGGAAAATTCGTTTATAAATCCACTATTTTTAATAATTAATTAATTAAAAATAATAAAAAATTTAACAAATTAATTTTTTAAAATAGAAATTTTTTATTAAGACGAATAATTCGATTTCATTGCTTATGTTAATCATTAAAATCAAATTTCATATTTGTTACAAAAAAACAATTTTTTTTTTTTTTTGAGAAAAATTCTCGTTACTTGAGGTTTTTTATTTAGTTACGAGTCGAATTTTAGTCATTGTAACAAATTCCATTAGGAGAACTTTTATAAAATTTTCAAGACACGAGAAGCAAATATTATTAAAATATTTTATTTTCCAAGTACCCTTGACGATATTTTTCAATATTAAAATTTTATGGAAAAACAAATAAAAGATATTTTTATATTCAAAAATTTGTCATTAATCAACTATCAACTTGTAGTCAAACAGTAACAATTGTCAATTGCAGCTGGTTTTTGTGTGTCTTTGATCAAACTTTTAAACTTTGTCTGTTTAAGTAGTGTACATAAGCTGTCTCGAAATTTACCTTATAAAAAGAAGTTAAAAAAGTACAAGAAAATTTATTAGTAGAAAGATATTAACAATCGGTTCACATTTCACAATCATTTTGAATCATGAAAATATTAAATTCTATAAAATGGTTTCTATTCGCAAACATTATTATACACAGTATTGTGTGTGTAGTTGACTCCTTTATGCTACCAGATTCGGATTTGGATTTGGATTTGCCACCCAGGCAACATTTTAACAAAAAACTGTTGAAAAATCAAGAAGAGGAAAACCTTCCACAATTTGCTTTAGACGATCCGGAATTATTTCACAATTTAACGCACAAGCAAAAATTTTTCAAAAATTGTTCAAATTTGCCCGAAAGAATGGAAAACCTCTACAATTCGTCAAAACTTCTAACACTGGATTCGAAAACATTTCACGAAGTTTTAAACAAAGCTTTCATTATCTGGAGAGAAAGTAACGCATCAACTTACATGAAATTTGAAGATTTATTCGCAATTTTGTATTACACTGGCAATGGTTATAAAGAAATGGAAAATAATTCGGATGAATCGAGACGAATGAAAAATGCCATTTACAGACTTGCAATTACGCAATCTTTAAATTCAGAAGAATACGAAACGAAATTATATCGAGGCGAAGCTATGCCACTAAATTGGTATGAAAAACGATTAAATAAATCAATAAATTTATTTGTTTTTGAAAAATTTACTTCCACTTCGACTGATTCAATTGCCGCAGAATTATATTCTGCGATAAGAAATATAAATAATAATTTTACAGAAACAATTTATGAAATGTCCTTCACTGAACCATTCTTAAGAGCTGAGATTGAGCAATTTAGTCTTTATCAGGAACGAGAAAGAATTCTCCTACCGGGAACAAATTTTTTTGTTAATCAACTAATTTGGAAAATTAAGGACGGAAAAAAAGTCAATTTAACAATAAAACTAATACATAATTATGGAAATATGACACTAATCGATCATCAACGGCAAGTTATGAGGGAACTGAAGAAACTACAGAATTCTGGTACCCAATTTTATGTCTGTTAAATAATTTTTTAGTCGATAAATTTAAATAAATTTTTCTTAACAGATAACAATTTATTTATTTATAGATAAATAAAGTTTTGTTAAATAAATTAATCTATACCATTTCGACTTTAATTCTGTAAATCTGGTATCAGAAAAAATATTTAAAATCAGTTTTATGATTATATGCTGTACTATTTGCGTTCTCAATAAATTGCAAATTTTTTAAAAATAAATTCTTCGTTTTTTACCTTAAAAAAAAAAAAAAGTTTTTTTTTTATAAAAAAAATTTAAAAAATAAGATTTTGTCGCAATTTATAAATAATAAAAAACTCCGTAAAAAACTCAAAATTATGTTTTTTTTTAGAATTTCGACTAATTTCAAATCGCTAATACTAGAAATTTAAAAAAACTATTCTCAAAAATATTATAGTCTCAAATTCTTTAAAGCGATTCAATTATTTTTAAAAAATATTCGAAATTCATTTTCAATAGAATCTTGTATTTTCATGAAATTTCGCAAAAACAATTCAATTATAACAAAATTTATCAAATTCATCCAAAATTCAATAATTTAATAATAAAATTTTCACAGTAATTCAATTAATTTAGAATAGCATTTTCAAAAAAAAATTTTGAAAAAATAAAATTAATTAATTATTTAACAAAATATTTATACAATTCTTCACAATACTTCAATTACTTTTTCACTAATAATAAAATTTTTCATGAAAATTCAAAATTTTTTAAAAAATTATCGATAAAATTCCCAAGCAAGAATTAAATTATTTTCATAAATATAATAAAAACTCATCGAAGAATTTCCAATTATTTTTAATACTACTATTTTAAATACATTATAATAATCGTAAGTTTCCTTTCCGTTAGCAAATTATCTGCATTCATTTGTTTGTTTTGAAAATTAAATTTTGTGGGTTAAGTATTGTCATTTTTTATATATTTTTTTATGTCAAACTTTTTAATGTGGAAAATACTTTACTTATTAAATTGTCTCGACTCTTTGGTAAAAAATCCAAAATTATCGAAAATTATCAAAAATTCAAAAAACCGATTTTCTTAAAATTCAACATTTTTTCCTCTCTTTTATGGGATTTAGCTTCATTATTTTTGTGCTTTTGGAAAATACTTTACTAATTTAATAGTCTCGACTCTTTGGTAAAAAATCTAAAATTATCAAAAATTCGAAAAAATTCAAAAATCCGATTTTCTTAAAATTCAACATTTTTTCCTCTCTTTTATGGGATTTAGCTTCATTATTTTTGTGCTTTTGGAAAATACTTTATTTATTAAATTGTCTCGAATCTTTGGTAAAAAATCTAAAATTATCGAAAATTATCAAAAATTCAAAAAACCGAATTTCTTAAAATTCAACATTTTCTTTCCTATTTTATGGGATTTAGCTTCATTATTTTTGTGCTTTTGGAAAATACTTTACTTATTAAATAGTCTCGACTCTTTGGTAAAAAATCTAAAATTATCAAAAATTCTCAAAAAATCCAAAAATCCGATTTTCTTAAAATTCAACATTTTTTCTTCTCTTTTATGGAATTTAGCTTCATTATTTTTGTGCTTTTGGAAAATACTTTACTTATTAAATAGTCTCGACTCTTTGGTAAAAAATCTAAAATTATCAAAAATTCGAATAATTTCAAAAATCCGATTTTCTTAAAATTCAACATTTTTTCTTCTCTTTTATGGGATTTAGCTTCATTATTTTTGTGCTTTTGGAAAATACTTTACTTATTAAATTGTCTCGATTCTTTGGTAAAAAATCTAAAATTATCGAAAATTATCAAAAATTCAAAAATTCGATTTTCTTAAAATTAAACATTTTTTCTTCTCTTTTATGGAATTTAGCTTCATTATTTTTGTGCTTTCGGAAAATACTTTACTTATTAAATAGTCTCGACTCTTTGGTAAAAAATCTAAAATTATCAAAAATACGAATAATTTCAAAAATCCGATTTTCTTAAAATTCAACATTTTTTCTTCTCTTTTATGGGATTTAGCTTCATTATTTTTGTGCTTTTGGAAAATACTTTACTTATTAAATAGTCTCAACTCTTTGGTAAAAAATCTAAAATTATCAAAAATTCTCAAAAAATCCAAAAATCCGATTTTCTTAAAATTCAACATTTTTTCTTCTCTTTTATGGAATTTAGCTTCATTATTTTTGTGCTTTTGGAAAATACTTTACTTATTAAATTGTCTCGACTCTTTGGTAAAAAATCTAAAATTATCAAAAATTCGAATAATTTCAAAAATCCGATTTTCTTAAAATTCAACATTTTTTCTTCTCTTTTATGGGATTTAGCTTCATTATTTTTGTGCTTTTGAAAAATACTTTACTTATTAAATAGTCTCGACTCTTTGGTAAAAAATCTAAAATTATCAAAAATTCGAATAATTTCAAAAATCCGATTTTTTTAAAATTCAACATATTTCTTCTCTTTTATGGGATTTAGCTTCATTATTTTTGTGCTTTTGGAAAATACTTTACTTGTTAAATTGTCTCGATTCTTTGGTAAAAAATCTAAAATTATCGAAAATTATCAAAAATTCAAAAATTCGATTTTCTTAAAATTCAACATTTTTTCTTCTCTTTTATGGAATTTAGCTTCATTATTTTTGTGCTTTTGGAAAATACTTTACTTATTAAATAGTCTCGACTCTTTGGTAAAAAATCTAAAATTATCAAAAATTCGAATAATTTCAAAAATCCGATTTTCTTAAAATTCAACATTTTTTCTTCTCTTTTATGGGATTTAGCTTCATTATTTTTGTGCTTTTGGAAAATACTTTACTTATTAAATAGTCTCGACTCTTTGGTAAAAAATCTAAAATTATCAAAAATTCGAATAATTTCAAAAATCCGATTTTTTTAAAATTCAACATTTTTTCTTCTCTTTTATGGGATTTAGCTTCATTATTTTTGTGCTTTTGGAAAATACTTTACTTATTAAATTGTCTCGATTCTTTGGTAAAAAATGTAAAATTATCGAAAATTATCAAAAATTCAAAAATTCGATTTTCTTAAAATTCAACATTTTTTCTTCTCTTTTATGGAATTTAGCTTCATTATTTTTGTGCTTTTGGAAAATACTTTACTTATTAAATAATCTCGACTCTTTGGTAAAAAATCTAAAATTATCAAAAATACGAATAATTTCAAAAATCCGATTTTCTTAAAATTCAACATTTTTTCTTCTCTTTTGTAGGATTTAGCTTCATTATTTTTGTGCTTTTGGAAAATACTTTACTTATTAAATAGTCTCGACTCTTTGGTAAAAAATCTAAAATTATCAAAAATTCGAAAAATACAAATATTCTTTTTAAACATTTTAATAAAATGTTTCGCAATAATTCAATTATTTTAAAAAAAGTAGTTGAATTTTTCACAGGAGTTCAATTATTTAAAAACTTTTAATAAAATCCAATTTAACAATTTAATTATTTTTAAAAATAATAAAATTTTCCCTTGAATTCAATTATTTTAAATACAATTTTTATAAAATTCTTAATTCTTTTCAAAAATTCACTTTATTTTTTAAAATTTTTGCAAAAATTAAATTATTTTTAATAATAAATTTTTTCGCTAATTCAATTATTTAAAAAAAAGTTTTAATATAATTCTATTCGAGAATTCAATTATTTTCAAAAAATAATTAAATTGTCGTTGTACTGAAAATCATTGAATTATTGTGTAAAGTTCTGATAAAAAAATTTGAAAATAATTGAATTCATATCAAGAATTTTATCAACATTTCTTTCAATAATTGAATTCTTTTGAAAAAATGTAATTAAAATTGTATTGAAAGTAATTTAATTCTAGGCAAAAATTTTATTAAAATTCTTAAAAATAATTGATTTGTTTTAAAGAATTTATTTCGACTCTCTTGAAAATAATTGAGTTTATTAAAAATAATTTTTAATGAAAATTTTGAAAGTAATTGAATTTTAAGAAGAATTTCATTTAAGTTTTAAAAATAAACATGTTTATTATTAATTGTAATTAACGATTTTCCTATTAAATTATATTAAAATTATTCATAGAAAATTAAATTCTTTTAAACAATTAGAGTATTTGTAAATAAATTTTTTTTAAAGAAATTTAATTAATTTAAGAATTTCATTTTTCATAAAAATAATGTAATTTTTTAAAATAATTTTACTTGAAAATTTTGAAAATAATTGAATTTTAAGAAGAATTTTATTTTATCTTTTAAGAAGAATTGAAATGTTTAGAAAAATTTTATTACAATTTTTAAAAATAATAATTGAACCTGTTAGAGAAATTTTCTTAAAATTGTATTGAAAATAATTGAATTTCTCCGAAAAATTATTATTATTTATGAAAATAATTGAATTTTTGCCAAGAATTTTACAATTCATAAAAAGAATAAAATTGAATTGTTTCGAAGAATTTTTTTAATCAAAATTGTTGAAAATAATTGAATTTAAATAAATAAAATAAGTTCCGTAAAAAATGATTAAATATTTATTTAGAAAGGAAAGTTATTGATGTTTTCAAATAATTTTACAATTGAAGAACTTTATAAATAATTGTAATATAACATTTTTTTTTTTTGCATCTAATCATTTTTTGAGTGAATCAAAATATTCTTCAGGGTGAGAGAAAAAGTTAAAATTTCATCTGTAAATCAGGGAAAACAATTACCTACCACAACATAAATATTTGTCTGTCCATCCAGCAACTATTCTGATGAGTATAAACAACGCCGATATTTTGAAAATATTTCAATCGATTCATTTTAATGGCGGGCGTTATTAAATTCTTCAAGCATTTTGGCAACGCTTTGTCGCCAATCACCAATAATGGAAGTTTATTACTGCCACTGGCATTCGAGCAAAAGAGAGTCGTGATCCGCTCTGAAAATTCCATCTTTGTGTCTGTGTGCAAATCAGGAGCGCAGGAGAGCAAAGTTCGCCAGTATATTTCCGATTCATCGGCATTGTATATATTGTCTAGTGATAGTTTTTCGCGAGCAATTTTATCCTGTAAATACTGTGAAAATTCTTTGGCACTTTCGGTATTTCCTTTCAATTCACATCTTCTTATGCCGTAGCGCTTCTTGAAGCACTGCAGCCAACCGTCGCTTGCCTGAAAAATAAATTAGTTAATAAATAAATAGTAAATAA